ATAGCACACCAGTTTGATCTCTGCCTTGCACCAGAAGAGAAAAACAGTAATATCTCAACAAACTTTTTTTGTCAAGTATTTAATGGATGTGATATTTTAGATTTACAGGGTCAGTCAGTCCTTTCCATAATCAATCTGAGTCAAAATTGAAGGCAAAAGACTAAAGGAATAATTACTTCACTGCCAGATCTGGGCAAAGGAGAGTCACACAATTTGTATTTTGATGTCAGGAAGGACAGACAGAGCTCTGCTGTTAGATATTTCCATTTGACCAATCCATGCATTTGCAGTCCCAGATATGTCCTGTTAGGCTTTGATACAGCTCATCTAGTAGTTGTAATGTAGAAATGGAGTCTTAGAGGAAGGTCAAAAAAAAGGCAAAAATCAGGAAACTGCTCTTCATTAATTCTCTGGTTTAAGAGTAATTTGGGCTGTTTTCAGATGCCCTTAATTTTTACTGTTGAAGTGAATTGCTATTAAATTAAGTAATTAAAGAATTTTAAGTTCAGTCTCACAAAATTTGGTCTTATAATATTAAATTATTTAACTAAAAAGATGCATTGATGTTAAAGTGTATCAATTTCACATCAGATATTCTTTTTTATGTTTGACTGTGTGGATAGGAGATGTTTGTTTTGTTTGCAGGTAACTACCAGAAAGCTCTGGAGAAATACAAAGTCATTCACAGAAAATTCCCAGAGAATGTTGAATGTAAGTTGTTTAATTCTGTGGTACAACTATCAAAGGAAACTTTGTTACATTGAATATGTGTGTTAGTAGTCATATGACATGGTTTTCATATGAAAATATTTTCATGAAATAACATTTTTATTCATGCTAATGCTGCATGTTTTCTGTGGCAACACTAAAGTGTGATTTAAGAAATATTAGGTCAGTGCTGAAGAAGAGTGATGAAAATAAACTTCTGCTGAGTCTGACTGGTTTGAGTTCTTTCTCATACATAACTATGCTACTTACTAAATATTTCTTGTGATAAAATATATGTGTTTGTACTTCTAGTTCCTGCTAGTTGAAATTTCTGCTATAAGTTTCTAGATATGAGAAAATCATATTGCTAAGTTTTACCAAAACCAGGCTTTCCAAAAAAACATAGAGGGTGAGACTTTGTTGCTGGGTTTTTAAGTATAGTTCATCAACCAGTCTCTGGAAAATCTTTGAAGAGTAAGACATTTTGCAAAATCAGTCACACCTTAACTCTAAATAAGATAAAGCCATGTAGAAAATAGAGGTTGTCAGTGGTTGTGAAAACATTCTGACATCCCACGCTCTACCTCACAAATTCCAAAATACGAGGTTGTCACCAACAAGTCTGTATTTTTAAATGCAACATGGGAAGAATGTTCATTCAGTTTTATTTTAAAATTGGATCATTCTGCTTTAACAAATGCATTGCTTTTTAAAAGAGGAATCACACAGCTCTCTTGTACAACTGAAGCTCAGTGCTATAAACTCCTCAAAGTTATAAGCAAAATATTGTGTTCCTATTGGTCACTCATATTTCGGAGGGGTATTTACTAAACCTTTTAGAATGCAAAGATATTTCTGAATGTAGTTTCTACAAATTACACAAATGGAGGCAGAAGTTAGGCAAGACAACTGATTTAAGTTTTCTGCTGCTGAAACAATGCTGCTTCACTCATTCCTCACTGACCATGTGTTCCCTAAACCAGCAGAAAACTAACTTAGCACAAAATGAATAACATTTTTGTGAAAGCGCCAGCAGAGAAATGGATCATGTAATGCTTGCTTTGGCTTCAGTTCTTTCAAAGGAATGTTGACAAACACACAGGAATAGCAACAATATCTTCAGAGTTTGATATAGTGTCTCAGGAGAATGTTTTTAGGGGCTCTTCTGATTCAATCATAATACTCTTTAAAAATCAACCACAGCAACGGAAAAAAAAAACGTTTTGATTCACTTGGCATTTATAAAATTGTTTTCAACAAAATGCTCTTGATAGCAGCTCCTCAGTAATATCTTAGTATCATTACTATGCTTCCAGCCTGTACAATATTTTGCAAATGTCAAGAGTTCTGAGCCAGATGAGTTAGTATGTCTTGTGCCTTCCACATATATAAATGGTATTTGTACTGTTCATGGGTATAGACACACAGAAAATGTTGAATTACCTGCAAAATATCACAACTCACATGGTGATACTGGACTGGAGTCACCTTATTTGCACAGTTGCTTTTTTAATGGTGTTTTTTGCTTTTCAATTAGGCCTTCGATTTTTAGTTCGTCTCTGCACAGATATGGGGCTGAAAGAAGTCCAGGAATATGTAACAAAGCTCAAGAAAGTGGAAAAATTAAAAGAAATAAGAGAGCAGGTGAGTACATAGATGAAGCTAAAATAGTGTTTATTTTAGTTCAAGATAAAATGTGTTATTAACTTCCTGGTTTAGAGAGGCTTATGTGTTGAGGTTTGGGGAGTTTAGTTTTAAATTACTGCTCAGTCTTATATCTGTCTGAATAGTTTTTGAGTACCAGATTTTCTGTGATTTTTAAATACTAGTGAAAGATGGACTATGTGGATGTGATGGGAATGCCGGAGCAACTTGCATAATTCAACGTCTCTGGAATGTCGTCTTTCCTACCTGCTTGCCAGATTTCATTTAATACTTTAGTGTGCTTATGAGCCAAGTAATAATGCAACTATAGGGAGAAATGGGGAGTTTAGGAATTTGTCTTTTTGTTATATACAAAACTGCAACATTGACATATTGCAAAGGTAGATGTAAACTATTTGTGTTAGTGCCAGTTTTTAAACTGAAAAAAGAAATGCGTGGAAAAGCAACAGGCTGTGAAAGGTATGAGATCATAACTTGTGTTCCGTTCAGAAGAGTGAGCTCACGTTTATGTGTGTGTGTGTGCACTCATGCATTGTTTTCTTGCTATTCTGGTGATAAAGTAAGATTTTAAAATGAAAAACAGCTGCTTGTTTGAAAAGCATTATCCATGCTGTTGAACAGCAAAGTGTTCAAGTTTGCTTTTCTTCTTGCCTCGAAGCTACATAGTCACATTAGGACACACGTCTTAACTAATTTACTGTGCTCCTAGTAACACTTACTGGGTCCCCTTTGATGCCAGATAATATGTACATGCATCCTTAGATACTTTTACTTAAATTCCAGGGAGTCTGAGTGTGTGCATGGAGACTAGGACATTTTAAAAATGAAACTCACAAAGGGAAACACTGATCACAGGATTCCAACTTTATGCTGCAAGTCAACTTTGAAGGACTAGCTGAAGTGTATTGGTTCGAATTTTCAGTAAATGTAAAATTTAAAGCACTTGGGAAAATGGACAGAAGAGAGCAGTCTACTGCTGTAGTGGGATTAGTATTCCTCCATGTCTCCCCATAATCATATCAGTAAGCAAAACAGATGACCAGATCTAATGTTTCTATTCTGCAAAACTCATAATTAGGAGATCTCTCTGAAGTGTGTTAAACAGGTTATGCTTGTTTTCTAGGGAGTATCAGTTCAATGTCAGTGATATACGTAGCTCTTTGCGGTAACTTTCAATACCTCAGCACTTTACTTGGGAAAGCTCACCAATTAAACAAAACAAACATTGTCACATCTCTTCCTGTTTATTTCACATTGGAAGTGGGAGCTCTCCCAAACACATTTCTGTATTTTCTGGTGGGGAAAAAGCTACCAGTAGAATATTTAGAAGTTTTAATCATCTAAGTTACTTAAGATTTTAGTAACACAGAAATTAGGTTTAAATTATGGGGGTTTTCTCAATCTGACTTCATTGTGTTAAGGGAATTTGTACCTATCATGTCTGAATTACAGAGGTATCAGTGGAATCCTGCACAGATGCATAGTAGCACAAGTTACTGCATAGTAAAGGAACAAAGACTAAGAAAAGATGTTTCAGGATACACTGCAATTTAGTATGTGGCTGTCCTGTATTAGAAATTGAGTATCTCCGAGACAGACAGAATCTCAGCATCAACAATAGCCCTGCAGTTCCTTTTTCTGTCGTTGGTGTTGCATCTGGGTTCCATACCCTGGTTTTGGGTTGGGGACTTTTTTTTTCTTTCATTGGCTGGGGTCTCTGTGTGATTTTTTTAGTCTTATGCCTGCTATCTGGCTATGGAAATTACTAGGGTTTTTTTTGTCTTAAGAAGTTTCTTCTGTCATCCATGACCATAAAGTCATAAACCATACTGTCAAGTTCTAAAATTACCAAAATTTTAATATTTCACCACCTAAGTTTCCAATAGGAATACTGGTTTCAGTTAGCAGTACCAGATTTAGTTCAAGTCCTGCTCCCAAATTCAGCCATGTTTTCTTGATTGCACCCAGTAAACACAAAATAGTTAAATGCTAGTGTAGTATACCTGCATTTCATAGTCTGCACACAGACTTCGTCTTCCTGTAGAAGTTTATCAAAATTTGCTATTCTGGCATTGTTTTTCCAGAATAAGTATATCCACATGGAGTTTTTACCAAAATAAATATTCTGGAGTACTTATTTCCCTCAGTTCTCAAATATGGACAAGTTGTTAAATACTTCCAGCCAAGAATCCGGGAACATCTGTGGAGTTCATTCCCTGTAGAAATTTTTCTCCCTGCCTCTCACACAATGTTCAATTTTTACTGCAACCTTCATACGTTGGGGCGTTTTGAGGGGGTGTTGTGTTCTTTGTTTGGTTTTGGTTTGGTTTTTTGCTGCATTAATCTTCCTTTTTCATGTTTCAGTTTAAAAAAGACAGGTAATAGTGTAAAAGGTCACTCAAGCCCCTTGGCACTGATGTACGCACACATTACTATTTATTTCCGTCAAGGAGCTTAATGACTGAAAATGAGGGGCTGATGGGGTGTGCTGTGAAGCAGAGATGATAGGTGCAAATGCTGGGAAGGGACTTACTGCCCTTACCTTCAGGCATCTACATCTGGGCTCGTCATCCTAAATGTCTTTTGCAGTCATGGGAGAGAAACAGGCATTTTTAGAGTGGAAACCTATTTTGTATGTCTGCTTTTAGTATGAGATTACTTACAAACTATTCGCTTGAATTAATCATATGCTTAAGATGTAGTACTGATGTAATATTTGGGGAGTGAAGTCCTAGGATGTAAATGCCAAGAGGGCACTATAATCTAGGGACTGATCCCCTCCGGCAGATAGAAGCTGAGCTTCCATTATCAGATTTGATGTCAGTCATTCAATGTTTGGAGAGTCTGAACATGCTTCCTGAAGGATTGATATATGCTACTTCACTGGACTGTGAAAACAATATTTAATACAAAATTCAGAGAACATATTATAGACTTGAGGATTTCCCAAAATAAATAAAAAGTATGAGAAATTCTGGTTCCAGACTAAATTGCTCCAAGACTAGTCCCGGTTTCACACTAGGCTTGATGCTTTCCTGTCTGACTCCTGTGAGTTTTGATTTAGGAGTTCTTCCTTTTTCTGTTGGCATGAATCTTGAAAGTTCTTTCGTTTCTTTGGTGTCATTCCAACTTTGCCAGACTCCATTATATTTTTCTGGTGAAAAATGGGTGAAGAAGCTTCAGTAACTGACCTGAAGACGTGGTTGGGTAGTGTGCACATGTGTTTTACTCAGGTCCTGAAGTCATATTTTGAAATAAGATGCAGAGATACTGTATTAATATCTGAATGCTTTAAACACCAAGTTTTTGTACCTACCTATCAAAAAGTCCCTTGCTGAGATACACATTCTTGTAATTGACAAGATGCATGCGTGAGAAATTTGGTGTTTTGCCAGGAGGAGCTGAGTCTGCCATGTCTAGAGGTATTGCTTTGATAAACTGTTAAAGTTTTCGAGTAACACTTAAAAAAAAACACAGCTGGAAGATGTTTATGGTACCTTCCTCTTTGCAAGAGAGCTGACTTTTTAAACACAGCTTTTAAAAGTATTTACCCTCACCTTTATCTTGCATTTAACACTCAACAGCAAATTAAATTTTGCTGTAAAATACAGTGCTGTGCCAAGAATTCAAAGTCTGAGATCCATAGGGTGAATAGTTCCTTTTATAGATTCCCGTACTTCTCCCCTTTGAGTCTTTACAATAATAAAATGCTTATGGGATTTACAAGATGTTAATAGGCAGAGGCTACTTTGAACTGATGCAAGGAGGGCTACATTGCCTGTTTTTTCAGCTGTACTTCACAAAGAAACATCTGAACTATTTTTATGCACATTCCTTGTATAAATTTTATCTGAAGAAAAATAATTTATTGAGATATTCTTTTTGAATTTCACAGAACTCTTGTTTTACGTAAACATTGCATTTAACAATGATTTTAAGGACAGTTTTGTATGTTGAAAATACAGGGTTTATTAGTTGCAGTATAGTAAGTAGTTTAATGTTCTTCTACTGTTTTATTAATAAGCTAAGTTGAATTTTCAATAATTATCTCTAATATATTTATTTTATATATATATATTACTAAATGGGGATTTTTGTTCTGTTCTTTTCAAACCTTTTTCACTGTTCCCCAGCGCATTAAGTCTGGCAGAGATGGCAGTGCACGTAACCGCAGAGAAGGAGGTGGTGGTAAGTACTCGAGGCCTCTGCTTAAATGTGCAATTTGTCAGGATCCTAAAGAAAACAGTTTTTCTGAAAGTGTTTGTAAAGCCTCTTTACATTCTGAAATGCACACAAATATGTATTGAGCAATATGGAAGTACTTCACAAATTTTGTTTTGAACTTTTTGATTATCTCATTGCTGTATGAAACCACAACTGGTACAGTAGCATGGATTTGGTCCAACATTTGTGTTTTATATACAGATCTCAGAGTATTTCTAAGGCTAAATTTCTGGGGTTTTTTGGTACTGAGGACTTGAACATTTTTATCTCATTAACTTGGTATTTGAACACTTTTATCCCATTAACTTTGGAATATTTACTGTAAGGAATCATTTATGGTAACAAAACAGAACACATAAGCCATGAAAACCAGGAATTCATTGTTTCTTTATTGAACATGGAGGAAAGGGAATTTTTTGCCCACCATCTAATCCACTGTCAGGTGTTTGTTACAAGTTTAAGAGGCAGTTCTGTGCAACCAACTCCGTAATAAGGATAACGTACCCTTACTGTCTTTAGAGTTCTTCCTTCCCCTTTTCCCAGTGTAGCAGAAGTGAAGTACTAGAGCCTTCCCTAGAGGAAAGCTTGCTCACTGACTGCTCTCTCTGCTTCTGTAGATTTACAATGCTGACTTTCATAAATATAAAACTCGTCGAGTGTTAGTCAGGAAACTGTCCTGCTTTGTCTTTTCTGCACTAGGTAGCCTGTATATTGCAGAGCTAATGATTTTTTCCTCCCGTTATTAAATCCATGAGATGTTACTAAAGTAAACCTAACTATTCCCCACTGCCACTCTAAGGAAACTAGCAGACTTAAGGCTACTTCAGCCACCTGGAAAAAAAAGCCCACATATTTTGACTCAAAAAGGAAATGGCTTCTTTGCATTGTGCTTTTAGTTTTTCTTAATATTGATGGGTCTCATATCCCCTGTAAATTCTTGCCTCTCTTCCTTTTACAGAGAAATAATTTATGATTTTTTTTTCTTATTTGGTAACTTTATTTCTCCATCTACATAGCAGATATTTTACAACATTTATCAAATTCTACAGGGCCGTGAAAAGTTATGGAAATTATTAGTGTAATCTGAAGATGATCTTAGAATGCTGTTACATTTACGAAGATTGCTCTCCTGGATTCTCTAAGGGTTAGGAGTGAGTGTTGGGTGTTTAGGAGAAATCTCATTCCTTTTTCAGTTCAGTAGTTTCACTAGAGAAGCTTTTAAGTCATTCTTGATATCTAAAAGACCCTCCATTCGCCTAGGATTGAATTTTACCTGTTCTGGGCCTCAGGCCAAAGTAATTCTTGGAGTGAAGTTCCTTGATTTGGTAACAGAGAGGAATGGAAATGTTTCTGGTCTGGCCTGTGTTACATAAGCCCTGTGATCAGGCAGCCAGCTAGATGTGCCAAAAAAACATCGGTGTGAGACAGGATTGATCCTTGTTCTCTGTCATAAAGTAAGATCCACTTTGGCTTATAATGAATAGAAATGAAGAACAGCATTGGTAGCAGGCAAGGATATTTACAGCTGTGCAAAACATGGCACATGTAGGCAAAGGGCACAAAGGGTCTGTTATCTTACAGCTCTATTTGGTAATTATCCCCACCCTCATTAGTGAAAAAGGTGTATGTTACCAGGAGAGAGTGAGTCAACAATTTAGCAAAAGATGTGAATGCTGATCAGGCTGAAAGGATGCTAAAACAACACTTATCCCCTTTACTACCAGTTTGTCAGTACTTCTTTTAAAGACAGAAGTATCTATGAAAATTTGTCCTTTTTTTTAAAATTGAAAAAAAATCAAAAAAGAGAATGAGAGGGTAAGCAGGGGCAGAATTGACCTAGAATTTGCCCTATCAATAATTCTTAGATTGTTGCTGGAGATATTATGCCAAGCATATGAAAGAATGGAAAAACTCAGTTTGGGAACAAGTCCGTATAGGAGCACGTTTGACAAGTCTTCATTATACAAATTCAGTGCCAAAGATCCAGCCTCTCTGGAAATGACTCGGCAAACAAGCAGAGGTACAAAGAAGGTCCTGTATTTAGGCTGGAGTTAACTTGTCTGCTGGGATTCTTAATTAAAAGTTGTGGTGAGATACTTACATGTATTTTTAGCACAAGTTAAAGGCGTTACGCACATTCTAACTGGTAATGTTGACTCTGGGGAGCCTTATCAGTGAAGAAAATGCACACTCACAGCATCAGATGTTAAGGACTATGTTGTAGTTTGTCTGCCTTTTACTGAGGATTACTAAGTAATTTTGTCCAATGTTTGGCATTATTCAGCTGGGTGATGAGCTGTATTTTTGGAGTTTAATGAATTTTGGTACGCGGCCTGTATCAAGACACATGTGAAACATAAACATGGGTTATTTTATTTCATAATCTTAGTATGCTTTTGATAACTGACTTCAAAAGAAGAATTAAAAAAAAAATTGTATACTTTTTAAGATTAGTCTTTTCCAGTGGTGTTACCAAGACCAAAAGGGATCATTTTTCTGCACTGTATGAGGGATTTGCCATCATTACGGAACCCAGTGAAGCATGGAATCCTCCTTAGCTTAGTGCTTACTAGCTAAATTAACATACTTACTAGCTAAATGAAGTGTGTATGCATTCCAGATATTTTAGGTATGATGCCTGTTTTATTTCTTTCCTCTTACCAGCTCACTGTCCCCATACTTGCTGGCATTCCTAACTGATTTTTTTTTTCCCCCCAAAGTATTTTGTCCCTATATAGTTATTTGTATTACGAGTATTAATAATTCAGACTTCCTTGGTCTAGGAAATATGATCTCCAATTGCTTTTAAAGAGGAAGCTAAGAGGAAAGAGAACTAAGCCAGCAGGGTTTGTACTTCAAAGGGCATCCACTACTTTGCCAATATAAATTAAAACAGAAGGTGTAAGAGATGCACCAAAGCACAATTTGAACAACAGGATTAGTGTATGTATGAATGGTACACCGAATGGTAGCAGGGAGCCCAAGAAAACTGACATCTATATCAACATCAGTTAAAGTTTGCTCTTGTTGTGTAAGGAAGATGTGCATTAAATCTAAAACCCCTACCTAAAACTGAACACATTTGTCACTCTTATTATAAAAAGTGAAATTTTCTTCTCCCCACAATTATCAGATTTATGATTTTCAATCTTACTTGATTTATGTTGGAAGGAGAGGACATTGATATGGTCCTGTTAAAATTATTCTTTTTACTATATGAAAGGAGAAAGAAAAATTAAAAAAAAATAAAAACAAAGCACCACAAAGCCCTGAAGGAAGCTGAGAGTTTAGGCAGTTCTCGAAGATTTCCTTTCCAACAATATTTTCTTGTTTTCATGCTCATTTTTTGTGTTTTGCAGATATGTGATGGTAACATCCAGAACTTAGAAGTTAGGGCACTGTGGTATTCACGACCATAAGAGATTTTTATTGTTTAATAGCATCATGCCTTTAGATAATGTAAAGTGTGACTTTAAGGAATACATTGCCATAGCAGTGTTTACTTGGTCTCTGCATTTGCCCAGCTCTCTGAATGGGTGGTTTTGTAGTGGATGAGAGGAGCCGTGGAGTCTCGGACAGGAGCCCAAAGAAGCAGTGTTGAATTCAGAAGATGAAAGGCTGAGCACTTTGCATTCTCCTTGTTAGCTAAGCCTGGCCAGATGAATTTGGAAAGGAAACCATGTGAGAGTAATTTAGGTGTCTTTTCCCTTTTTCATTTCACTGGTGATGGTGTCGGTGGAGAAATGGGTTTGTCCATCCCGTTTTCAAACACCCCTTACCATCCCATAGGGATTTTCTCATATATTATGGAAGCACGTTATAGATGTTGTGGCTGTAGGCATCCCAGATAATCTTGACTGAGAGGCAAGAGATTTTCTTGGTACCTGCAGCCAGGACCTCATGATCACTTATATTTTCTAGGCTTTGTGTGCCTGCTGATGCCTCTTTAATTAAAAGTCATTGTGGGATGGTTCCATTGGCTGTGTGTGCAAAATAGAAAAAAGTTTTCTTAATAGTGAAAAGAATATCCTTAAGTTTTCTGCTATGAACTCACCTAAAGAGTTAGCTGAACTGACACATCAGATCAAAATGACCTGCAGTGTAGTTAAAAATTGCATGACTTCCCATGCCATTTCACAGTTTTAATGTAATATTCTGCCTTCTACACTAAACTTCTCTTTGGTCAAACCAATGCCCGTTCTTCTCCAAAGATAGTGTCTCTCCATTCGAAATATGAAGGATACACAAAGCTGCATTAGAAGGCATTCTGGATTTAGTGGAGCATTAACCCACTGTGCACTTTGTTACACAAACAACTTGCAGAGGAGGTGGATTACCAAACAACCATAGCCTTTGTTATTTTTTCCCAATGAGTAAAATGGTATTAAAAATTCTAATTTACATCCTTTTTGATATAGGAGGAATATCAAGTGCAGTAGTCTCATCACTATAATTGCAACTAGTGAGGTTCCTTTAAAAAATAAATACAAATACTGTGGATTTTATGGGTTGGAGTATAGACGGGTATCATGTGACACAGGAAGTACAGAAACACATAAAAAGATTTAGAATCTTTTAGATATCAGTTCTTAAAATTATTATTACAGAATTATTACAGGATTATTACAGAATAGGATTACTCTTGAACTATGTTGCTTTATTTATTTTTCTGCCATATAAAACTAACCATCTTTTAAAACTAAGTTTTATGCTTTGATTCTTTTCTTTCCCCTCCAAATTCTCTGTGGAGGAATTAATTCAAATTAGTTTCTGTAAGATGTTGAACAAATCTAAATGAATGGAACATATTGTAATAGAATAAGTTAAATATCCTAAATATAGTATTATGGCCATGACTTCTAAACAGATGAGAGGAAAGAATGCACTGTAAAAGATATCAGCGTGCAGAGTGTATTATTTATGTCTTTGTATGCATAGTCCGCAGTTAAGGCTGCTGAGGGGAAGATCATGTCAGCATGATAATCCAAGTCTCAAGTATAATTGTTTTACCGAGTAAATTTATTTATAAATCAAATTTTAAAAATATATTGACCAACTCTGCCTAATCAGTTACTGTTGCTTTTTCAACTGAAACCTGGAGTCACGTTCCTGCAGTCAGTCTGTGTGTGTGTGTGTCCGCATTTTCACCCCAAAGTGAATACACAGGGACTGGCCTCCACATGAACTATAATAATAACATAATTAATAAAAACACAAAAAGTTAATAAGGAACAGGTATTTACTGCAGTGAAGGCTTCCTTTTATACAGAGAACGTTTTAGTTTGGCAGTGGTCTTCCATTATTCAAAAGCTGTTTTTATTTAGGAGCATGTGTTTGTACAGTTAATACAGTAGTGCAGGTAGAATTGATTTGCAGTTTGAGAAACATGTACCTGTAGCCCTTTGATTGCAAGTGCAATCAGAAAGACATTAACACTCAAAGCTGTGTTATTAGTGGAGAGGAACTTCGAATCTTTTTATCCAGAGTTTTTATTATTATCCTTTGACCCAACGTTAACTTTATTTTCTTTTGTGTATTACTTTGGTGAAAGCTAGTTCCATTCCCTAATCCAAAAGCTGAAATACGTATAAAATCTTTTTCCTGGATAGAGTGAGGGCAACAGGGAATGGTGAGTAGAATCTGTAAAACTCACATCCCAAAAGTATCCATGTCTGTGATAAAATGCTTTAAAAACAATTTCTTCTCTGAATTTCTCTTCACTGTAGGATACCAAAATCCTGAAGTCTGCATTGCAAGCTTGTATTCCTTAACATTGCCAAATTATGTGTGAATGTATACTGGATAAAAACATGTAGATGATTTATCTGCAAACAGAACTAGAAAAAGTAACTTCAAAATGAGATTTAAACTCCCAGCAGATCATGTTAAATGGTCAACAGAATTTTTAGTAGCTGCCATATTGGCAGGCAAATCCTGTCTCCCATGGCAGAGCGTCAAGAAAAGCTTACCCCAATTGGCTCAACAACTAGGACATTCCTCCTGAAAGCTGGAACTCTGGTTTTGAACTCCCTCAGGTGAAGGAAGGCACTGACGCCAGACCTCTCTCTTCCTGAGCTGCTGTCTGACATCTCCATGTGATGCAGATGTTGTCAAGCATCTCTTAACTTTCAAAGGAAAGATGATCCTCTTCCATGTCTTTAGGTATGGTCAGAGCATATTGCAGTCCTAATTAACCTAATTTAAAGTAACTGTGGGCTGCTACCAGAGGTGTTAACCTTGCCTTCACTCTTGCTGAAGATACAATGCTCATCTAGAAATAAGGTGAGCTGCATTACTTTGCTGAGGTTCTCATTAGGTTACTTTTAAATGTATCAGGAAAGTGCTCCAACAGAACCTACTACTGGTGGACAGCATATGGAAGGGGATACGACACAGGGCAGGAAGGGCAGGATGCTCCTTTTGGTGGTGAGATGGGGCTAGAGTTGTAGATTCAGAGGAAACAGAAGGTGGAACTCCTTACCTCAGGTTCTTACACATGCAAAAATTTCACAGGGTCACAAGAGAAGAATGAACAAGTTCTTGAAGAATAAATCAATCAGTCTCATTATTAACACGAAGAGCTGCCCCATTGATTTACAAATTCTTGGAGGCTGGGAAATTATTCTTGGAGAGCTACTGTATATGTTTGCTCTACTTAAGACACTCTTCCCTCAGCATCCTGTGATCTTTTGTATGGACAATAAGCCAATTGAGATAGACTTTTAATCTAGTAAGGTACCCATATGTTCTTGCTGCTTAAGTGTTAAGAGGACACATAGACACCTACTCAGTTTTTTCCAGGGTGTATTTAGTCAAGGTAGGATGTATTGATCAAATAGCTTGCAGCTTCTGGAAGGAACAGCCCACCCCCTCTCAGCAATTCCTTTCTTTTCCGTTCCTTTTCTTGTGTTCTTGCTGCTTTCCTTGCACTACTTCTAGCATTAATCTTGCTCTTTGGTGAGTTGGTCCATTAAAAACAGTAAATAATGTGTTTGGCCGACTGAATCAAGTCTGAAGCCTGAGGAGCTCTAGTTGTGTGAAGAGTTACATTTGCTCACTGTTACAGCACTGCACAATTCCGTGTACTGTGTTAGCTCGTAAACAGAAAGAGGAGCTTAGGCTCCAGGGTCACAGGCTGAACACCCACAGGCATGGCCATTTGGGGCAACTCAGTCATAGCAATATGTGCTTAAGGAACGTCAGAGCTATGGAAGGGGGAGCAGGATTGGACATCCAGTAGATGGGGAGAGAAAACGAAAGGGAAATTGGCTTCAAATTTTGAACTTACTGCATAATTCCCTGCTTGGACATAGCCCTAATAAAGCTTAAGGGTCCTAGGATGTCCAAGAAAGCCTTTGTTTTCAATGGTATATTTTTAGGTAATGAGATGTCCAGGTAGCTTGTGGATATTATGTTTATCCCAGCCAGTTTGGTTTGTTTACCATGCTACTTTTCCTTCTTTTAGTTAATATAAAGTCTTTCACTTTCCTCTGGTAGTATCACTAAACCCCATGTGTTTTCCTCCTTCACAGTCAAAAACCTTTGATATGCCATCTTCTTCCTCTTTTATTTTCATTATACCTAGTTCTTCCATTCTGGAAACAACCAGTTAAACCTGTGGAGTTTCTTTGACTAGCTCAGTCTTCCCCTAGATTAGTTTCTGCTGTGTTGTTCCTGTCTTTGCAACTCTTTACTGCTTCTTCCAATTTTATTCATTATCTTGTAAATTATTTCTTTTCCATTGCACAAGACTCTGTGCCTACATCTATCCTACTGTTTTTCTCCTTGTCATAATTTTGTGTTTTCCTCTAAACTGTCCTCAAAACATCTTCATCCACACCATCTTTGTTGCACAGGCCTGTCCAGAGCCTGCTAAACTCAAGGGCTGTCCCTTTCTGTAGTTTCACAACCCTTTGATTGAGCCCCCCTAGTCCAACCCAGTGATTTCTCTCCATTTCTTCAAGTCCTTCATTAAGTATTCACTTCTTTCATGAAGCCTGTCAGTGAGAATTGGTCTGAGGGAGGTGGATTTACATTACAAGGAAAAATACATTTTCCTTGTTTTGAAATTTCATCTGTAATCTGTGTCTTGTGAACTTATTAAGTGTTTGACATGTGGTTGTATGTAGCATATCTTTCTTGGAGCAGAGACATTGTTCTTCCAGTTTAGGGCTGAGCAAATGGAAGTCTGCAATAGTATTTATAGAAAAATTAAGGTTTGTCATCTTTGTAGAAGTTTGGGTTTTTGTTTGGTTTTTTTCCCTTTTAATTGTAGCGATATTTATTAAAATAACATTTATAGTAAATAAGGCAATGGAAATGTGTTGCCAAGTCCAGACTTTGTAATTAGTGTTTACTGAATGAAACCCATTTTTCCTCCTTACAGATGGAAGACTTTTAATGACGGTGTTCTTTGGTGTTGTAAATGAGCACGTTTGTATTTGGCTGTATGGCACGTCCTGCCTTCTAAATATATCAAGTCAAACTCGAAATGTTTTCTCCTAGTAGAAAATATATATCCTAAAAATCTGTTGTAGCAGATGAGATTGAAAGCTTGCCATTAATGTGAAAAAGAGATTGAGAGGTGTACAGAATATTTTAAGTGTCTGGAATACTGCTGTGGCAAGAGAAATGTTAATCTGATGTTGTCTGGGCAGGAGGCAGCCCTTGGAGCCGACACATTCCTTGGGGCCCCGCTGCAAGCTGAGCTGCCAGCACAGTGTTTACAGCAAGATGCAGGGCCAGGATGGTCTGTATACATGAACTGTGCCTGCCTGCCATGCAGACAGCACGTGTCAAATATACCCTTCTCATTAGAAGCGAAGTTAGTGTTGTATTTAACCTTGACAGTGCAGAGCAGGTGGATCACACTGATATATTGGTAAGCACACAGACATAGGAAATGTCCTGTATACCCTGTAACGGTGTTTATATTCATTGTGCTTATTTTAACTCCAAAATGTGACTGGGATTTATAATCAACTGAAATATCAGCATTTGAAGCAGAAATATTTTAAGGTGTTTACTCCAAAGTAAATAAGGTTGTATATATTTTTTAAAAAACTTGTAACACACACACATGCATGGACACTGGGTCCGTTGTGTTTTAAAGACCACTATTACAACTGAGTACTGTATCCACCATGAAAAGATGATTTCATCCAAACCTAGTTTGACAGATAGTAGTAGCTAAATTGATGTTGTTCTTGTATCATGATTTTACAGAATATAACAGCATGTTATTTGTGTTCCTTTTTTTTTTTTTTCTGTTCCCCAGACAGTGGTGGTACCAAAGGGGAAAGACTGAGTGCCAAACTAAAAGCTTTGCCTGGAACAAATGAACCCTATGAAAGTAGAAGCAGTAAAGAAATAGGCAAGTGAACATCTTAGGCCTTCTTACTTTCCTGGCTCTCACAGAGTGGAGAAATAAGGGGAGAGGAAAAAATAAATTACTGGAAGAGCATGTAAAATTAGATAATTAGGGAAACATTTTCCTCATTAGAATGAGATTTTAGCTTAGTTGTTAAGAGCTCACTATAAAGCAGTTGTAAATATTGGGAAATGTGGCTCATGTTATATTACTTTCGATATCTGTCTTCTGCATCTTTTGAATCAGTTTCTGTGAGGCTGCAGTCATAAAATCTTCAATAAGATTGAATTTTCAAAGGGTTCTAAAAACTCAACTCCATATGGAATGTGGTACTTCCTAAAAAGCTGTTCTTTAAACAAGTCATCAAGCGTGCTGTCCTTGCACTTTTCCAAAGTCTTTTTCTCACTGTTACATAATCAATAGAAATTTATTAAAGAACAAAAAAAAAGAAGGTGGGAAAAAAGGCTTCTATTACTAGCACTCAGGAACTTCGCTCTGGTGCCCTTTGTCAGTTCCTAAATACAATATTTTGTTCTCCTTCAGTGTTCATATGCTTTTTCTGGTCTGCATTTCAAAGACACCTTACAGATGTGCAGTGATAAAAATTACTTGCAGGTAACCATTTCAAATGTATTTATTTAAATCCCAGATGCCTCCTACACAGATCCACTTGGCCCACAAGCAGAAAGACCAAGAACAGCAGCAAGAAAAAGAACTGAGGAAGATGACTTTGCTGATGAAGAACTAGGAGATGATCTGCTTCCAGAATAGCATATGGGCCCCTCAACTTTTTTTTTAATGCCTGTAAAAGTTTTAGCTGATAAACTTTCATTCATTATGATTTTGTAGTGGATTTTGATAAATTATTTGGGAAATATTTTGGATACATGGTACATTATATTAAAAACCTGTATTTGAAATTGCGGTGTCTTTTATAATTGATTTTAAAAAAATGGTGAAGTTATTTTACTCATGCATAAAATCTACACAGGTACTCAAACTCATTGCAAACTATATCAGATGCATGAAGCTGTTCCTTCCAGAGATAGATATGATAATCATATGAAACACAGAAGCCTGTAAAATTTCACCTTTCAGTGCTAAATACCTCAAAGCATTGCTTATAAGGTTGAAAATGCCATATCCTTCATCCAAAGCCAGAATTTATTTAAGGCCTGTGAACTGACTTTCTGAAAATGTTGGATGTGACCTTGGTCTTCTTTAAGACCCCAGTTCAACAAAGCACTTAGCACTGATACCAAAGAAAGAATCTTAACTTTAGTCTGTGCTCAGCTGAACTAGGGCCATTTCGCAGTCTCTTGGCAACCTCCTTATTTTTGTTTTTTTTTTTTGTTTTTTTTTTTTTTTTTTTTTTTTTTTTTTTTTTTTTTTTTTTTT